GCATTTTCGAGAAATGCTCTCCCTCTCTATCTATCTCTGCTTTATTCCCTCTTTTTTCTCTCTCTCTCTCTCTCTCTCTCTCTCTCTCTCTCTATCTATCTTTTTATCCCCTGTCTATTATGCTATCTGTCATTTAGAAGTTTTAGATCTTTTACTGCTTTCTGATGTTTTTTTTTATCCACTCGGTTCAAATTGTTTGGTTCAAGTTGAAAATGCTCATCCTAGCGTTTCTCATCTTGTTGCCCATCAATCCCAGCTTACCAATTCACAATTCGTTTTAAAATTGTTCAAATGCGGAAAGATATAATGTTCTAATAAAGTTTTTTGTCTTTCATTTGGGAGAAATATTTTGTCTTCTCTAATTATCACCTTTGGACGGGATCGAAAGGTCCTCGTTTACACAAAGATCGCAAGTGGCACTGGCTGTCTTTCACCTCCAATTTCCTCGTTATAATAAGTTATGTAAAAATAAAAAAAATACTTAACTATTTGAGCTTTTTTTTCAAATTTCCTTCTCTCTCTCTCTCTCTTTCTTTCTTTACTGCTTTGAGTGTAAAAGGAAATCTCTTTTTTTCATCCTTTTTCTAGTGAGATTTTTTCATATCATCTTCTGATGTGAGAGTTCTTTGTGTTGACACATATGGAGCGGCGTCTAGAACAAATTGTATGGTTAAAGCACATTGTTGGTCTAAAACAATCCAAATCATATTTTTATTTGTCATAGAAGATGAAGATATTTCTTTATATGGTATATGCCGATGTGATCTTTCTCTTTATCTTTATCCAATTAGAAGACTCCTTCACCTTAATTCAAAAAATATAATTATTTGATATTTATAATTATTCATTAGATAATAATTTTTTTATTTAAAATATCAATGAATTGAAGAATATCAGACAGATTCTTTTGTTTTTTGAATCTATATGTTTCATGAATAATTCTTATCGTAGTTGCCTGTTACTCAGCTTTTCATTGAAATGAAACTGATAAGCTTTCGGTTCTGTAACTCTGAAATTGTTTTCTTTTCTTTTTCTCCATTCACTATGCGATGATTTGCTTTGAATCAACTTATTTACTAATTTTCCATTTCTTCTTGGAACAACAGACAAAAAAATTGTGGAAGAAGAGGGCTGGCTGTGTCTACTGCTTATGCTTAGGCCAATCGGCCTTCTGACTTATGCCCGACGAGCTGCTTTGGTTTTAGCCGTGCCTAAGAGAGCAGGCGGATAGCTCGTCTACGGCGAGTTACTGAATAAAGTGAAGAGAAACAGAAACGAACATTTAGACAGCACTCATTCATAAGAGAGAGAAAGAAATAAAAAGACAGAGAGAGTGACAGAGAAAAATGAAAAGATGCGAAGAGATGGAGCGAGGGGGAAGGGGAGGGCTACACAGCTACTCAGCCAGTCAGTTCGCCACCACCAGCCTTGGCACCGGCAGTACTAGCACAACCATAGTGTCCTCCTCCCTTTCCTTGCTTCTCTCCGAGTAATTGGCGTATTCTCTTCTAATGCTCCTTTTCCATATATTTCAGCTTATTTCGTTTATTTTCTCGTATTCTGCACGTCTAACTCTCGATTGTCCGCCGTGTGAGAGCCACGCGACATAGCCCTGAAATACATTGAAAAGCTAACGCTCCAATAATATTACACCCACATTGTGCTGTTGTTCGTCTCAATTAGTAGAGCAAAAAAAAAGGATTTATTTTGATTGTCATTGATAATCTATGAAACATATGTGGAAGAGTTATGGAGAGAGGCTGGTCTTTGGAAAGTATGACGACTCATGCTAGATTGAATGAAACAACTGAATCAGTTCTTCATTCTTCAATTTCTTAATCAAACATCAAATTATATTCTACACAGTATCCCTTGCTACATCTTCTTACCTCATCAGCCCGTATGATACATTTTCAAAATGAAATTTATTTCGAATATTCTATTTGAATGTTACAGTTGATCGTTCTAACCTTTGCACAAAACTAGTAAAATGCGGCTTTCTTCAAGGAAACCCTATAGACGAATGTTCGAATTCTCTTCATTTTATTCTTTTGTTTTCACGCAACACACGTGTTGATTGACAAAAATTTCATTTTTCACGTTTTGAATAGCGGTGGTGCATAGCACACGAATTCATTTGCTAGTGTTGTCGGCGTGAGAGACGGTTGCTTTTTTTTTCTGAATATCTATCATACCTCTCTATTTCTTCAACTTTTTTCATTTCTCTATGTCTACACCCTCTTCGTTGCCACCGTACTTCCGTTCTTTCATAGGTCAGGTCACCTTCAAGAAAAAGCTCTCTATTCGAATGTTTTGAAATTCAAATTTGAATAAACGTACCCGCCAATTCTAGAAAATTAAGAACATTCAGTTCATTCCGAAACATTATCGCTTCCGGTTGAAGAGTTTCAGTTAAGCGTATTGTTTATCCCTTAATTTAAAGTTTTTAATCAAAGTTTTAATTTTATTTTGCAAAAATGTTTTTATGGCGAACTCCCACGTTGAATGTTTTACATTTTGTACATTATTGATGCTCTCGTAATAATTATACATTGTTTATAAAGCTGCCTTTGCCTCTCAACAGCATTTTACACTAACGCACTAACTTTGTCATTTGAAGCTTTATGGGCAATGTTTGTCTATCAAGCTCATGGTGTATTTTGAGCTCGTTCCTGGAAACATTTCTATTGTTAACTCTCTATATTAGCTCTATGAGCATAGGTTATGAACAACTTGTCAGATGTTTGAAGCATCATTTGAAGCTTATTAATTTCAATGCTATATTTTTTAAGTATACTAATCTTCCGATTATATTTGCAAAGTCTCTAGTTCTTATTATTTGATGAGTTGCTCTCATAATTGCTCGAGGCTATCATGTTTTCCTTCTCTCGTTTCAATTTATTTATTGCCATTCTTCTTAAATTTAACTAATTTTCAAGGTTTCGTCCACCTTTCACCATCCTGTGTCGTGGATTACAAGTGACTACTCCATTCGAGTAGTATCTTCTCCTCTGAAGATTGTTTTTTTACTTTATTAGGACGACTTAATAATGGCAGGGTAGGTCTTGTCTTTCACTGCTTGTCGATTATGTTGTTTTCCCCTTTACCTCAAACACAACACTGAGAATTCGCTAGTTATGAAAGGTTTCATAAATTTAATTTTTATGGAATCTACGATTATGCCATATGTGCCTTGGGGCGGAGACTAAGCAAATAGCCGTCGTTGCCCAGAGAGACAGCTGGGTATCGATCCAACTTCTTAGCGGAGCTATCGATCGTCCTCCCATTCATAGCTGCTTCAGTCCCCATGGCGGATTCGGACGATAAATCTCCAGCTATGGAAGGTGTCGAGAATCCTCCGGATACTATCCGTACAATAACACCTTTAACACCTGACACAGGCCGATCTTCCCTATGGATGGCAACTGGCTTCTACTCTAGTGAAGAAGCTAGGTAAATCCTGTGGATTCTCAGTGTTGTGATTGTGTTTTTTTAATATTTATGGTTTTCAGGATATTTTTTTTTGATTTTTTAACTTTTTTTTCTTTCAGACGTCGGAGATTGAGTAAGCAACGGGAAAGTATCGAGCTAGCTCAGCTAGGTAAGCTTTTTGCTTTATAAACTGAATTTCTTCAAATGTCATATTCGTTTACCCCTGAAATTGTGTCTGTGCTCCATCACTGCCCCAACCAATTTGTTCTCTCGTTTTTGGAATGTTGCGGGAAAGAACAAAAAAAATTCCCTTTAATAACAGCGTTTACGTCATACTTCCGAATCTCTTTCTAAAATTAACAAAACCATTGATCACATAGCGATAAGGAATCCGCCCTTGTCTGAGGTTTTAGCAACAGAATAGGTTGAACTGTACCTCGGTCCATCTACGTCAGATTTTAAGAAACAAATTTTGATCGGTATGATAAAAGCGGAATCGTTTACCATTGTCAATGATACTACGAGCTGATGCTTAGTGTGCATAACGAGCTCTTCTCTAATCGTGTGTAGTTCTTTTTCTCCTCTATTTAGCCGTAGTATTGGACATTAAGCTTCTAATTGAATTCCTTATCCCCCTGAAATAGACATGTCTCTAACGAGACAATATGATACAGATATTTTCCGTAAGTTCCAAACATATTTTCCAAGATTTTTTTTCTTTCTAAATATTTTCTTTTCTTTTTTTAGCTCCTGGCACTCGTGTCATGTTCCTTCTAAAGGAAACACAGGAAGCTCCAGCTGTATTCTCCGAAATGGAAGAACTCGGGGAAACAGAATGGAGAGAAACAGCAAGATGGGTGAAGTTCGAAGAAGATGTAGAACAAGGTTTGCAAATAGATAGAATAAGTTAATTGATTCATCCTTTTAAGGAGGTAATCGATGGTCAAAGCCTCATGTTGCAACGTTATCTCTTCATTCTTTATTTGAATTGAGAAGTTGTCTCAACACAGGATTATTTATGAAAGATATACCAGAAACAGATCTTAACGACATATATGGTAAGCGATCTTCTACTCATAGATTATACAAGAAATTCGATCACGTTTTGTGTAGTCAAAGAGTAAAGAAAGAGTAAGCGGGGTGAAAGGATCAGAGGAACAAGGAGACTGAGAGAGAGATAGGCCGAAGATATCATCCGTAGAGGATATACAGAGTTCTTTTCCAATGAAAGTCATTTGATCTCATCATCACTTGCAAATAAGAAATTTCAATGCGCTTTCAGCTTTTAAAAGATTATGGCGTAATAACATTGGAGTTAATTTCCATTAGCTCGCTGTCTTATCAGGGCTGCACAGACTTCTTATCTTCCAATAGTGTATGACAAGACAGAGTTTTTTTTACTGAAGTTTCCAAGATAACTTTATGATTTATTGGGTGGGAGATTCAAAGAAAGAGTTTACAACATGACGAGTGGTCGCAAAGGTTAAACAAATAATTTCTTTTATCTTTGAATCATAAACTCATTTGTATTTTGTCTTAGAACATGTAACGGAGTCTTTTGTGAAAGATGGCTTTCTTCCTGAAGAAATGCGGGAGGAGCTTATGGAAGTTCTACGAAGAAAGCATGTCCATCAATATGAACAAGTTAGTTTTTCTATTTATATCTTATTTTCTTGAGATCTTCGATCTCTCGCGGATAAACTAGAAATGCCATCGGCTTCATTTTATTTACATAATGATTAAAACGATGCTATGAACGTTTGATTTTTTGATTCTGACTTTCTGATTAGTTTCGAATTCATGAGTGGACATTGTGAGCAAATTTGTGGAACTATTTAGAGCAGAATGTTCTATGTTGATCTTAATGCGTCATTGAGCAGGCGCCAATTTTTGCGGAGGATGGGAGGAAGTCGTTCATAATTTTTTTAAACAAAAAAAATGAGAATTATGAGAGTAGTCCCTTAAAGCTGATTTTTTTTAGGCCAAGAAAAACGGAAGTTCCGGGGAGAAGGGTGGCTTCTTATCGACAGTACGCTCCATATCTGACATAGGAAAGTCATTCTCACATGGCAGAAACTTGGGAAAATTGGATGATAAGAAAGAGCCCTCAGGGCCTCAGCTGGAACTACCAAAAGTAGATTCAATGCCAAAAGAAATGAACAAAGATGGCTCATCAGCTGACTTGAAAGGAAATACACATTTTCTGAAAAAACTTCCACCAGGGGTGGAGGCTAGTAACGTACTCGTTGGAGAAGTATGTTTGAAGCTTCCATCGTTCTCACTGTTCTCAGTTTATAGGTAGACTTTTTAACTCACCATATTAGTGCTTTCATTCGTCTGAAATCCTCAACAGTATTGGGAGATCTGACCGAAGTTCCAGTACCCACAAGGTTCATATTCCTCTTGCTCGGACCTCGTGGTCATGGAGCCAATTATCGCGAGATCGGAAGAGCTTTCGCTACTTTGATGGCTGATGAAGTGAGTTTTGTTTATGATCCTATTTTTGAATTATTTTTTCTGTAGATTTTCCATATGGTCGCTTTCAACGCAGCATCTCAAGATGATTTGTTAGCTGGTGTTGACGAATTTCTTGATCAAGCAACTGTTCTCCCACCTGGTGAATGGGATCCTGCTATCAGAATTGAACCTCCTAATTCTATTCCTTCACAAGAAAAACGTAAACAGGTGCGACGCTTCGATAAATAACAAACTGATTGTATAATTTTCTATAGGTTGGACAAGAGTTGTTATTAAGCTTGGAAAATGTGGAAGTTTCGAAGAAAGTCAAGCTAGATGTTGAGGAAGAGGAAGAAGCAGGTATAGGATTTTATCTGTATCTGATCTATATTGATGAAGTTTAGGACATGGCAATGATCCAGCTTTGAAACGTACGGGAAAATTATGCGGAGGTGTTATTTTGGATATCAAAAGAAAGGTCAGCATTTTCAAAGTATCTTCATGCTATCTTAATCATTCAGGCTCCTCATTTCCTTTCTGACTTCACCGATGCTCTCAACCTTCAATGCTTAGCTTCAATCTGTTTCATGTATTTCGCTCTCTTAGCACCAATTGTCACTTTCGGAGGATTGCTTGAAGAAGCTACACATCAGAGAATGGCGGCTATGGAAAATATATTTGGAGGTTTTATATCTGTTTTTGTACAGGTTTTCATCACTTTTTTGTTAAGGAGCCATTTGCGGAATTGTTTACCATCTTTTCTCTGGCCAGCCTTTGACCATCGTTGGATCAACTGGTCCTGTGCTTGTTTTCGAAACGATTGTCTTCGATATGTGTCAAAGATTGGGAATTAAATATCTGAGTTTCCGTGTTTGGGTAAGAGAAGAATTTTTTGATTAGTGTTAAGATCTGAGCTCGTTCTAGGTTCATATATGGACTGGCTTGATCATCTTCCTCATGTGTATCACAGATGCCAGTGCTCTGGTTTCTTATATTACCCGTTTCACTGAGGAGTCTTTTGCCACTTTGATTGCTATCATCTTCATATACGAAGCTATCATGAAGTTATGGAAAATCAAAGGACAACTAGATGTCATCAACTATTCACGAGATGTTGTTGAAGGCACATGTTTCTGTCAACCTCCTCTCATTCGTATGTTTACTCTCATTTATCATTCTGAATTTTTGTTTACAGCTAAACTACCTTTGGACAAAGCTTTGGACTACATAAATCATCACAATATCACCGTTGAACATAACTCCACTTACATTGACTATACAAGCGTATGAACAGCTCTGAATAACATTTTTACAGAACTTATTTTAGGCAACTATCAACGACTGTGGTAGAATCGGTGGATCGTACGGAGGAGATGCTTGCTATGTCATGTACGATAAACTGCTCATGTCAATTCTGCTCGCCGTCGGAACATTGTTCCTTTCCTTCACGTTGAAGGGAATGAGAACTTCACGTTACTTCCCTAGCCGTATTCGTCAAATCTTTTCTGATTTCGCTGTCATGATTGCTATTGTTTTGATGACTCTGGTGGACTTGGCCATCGGCATTAATACACCCAAATTGAATGTTCCATCATCCTTCAGAGTTAGTTGACAGCTGTTTTTCGTTAATTAATTTTTGAATTTAAGCCTACTTGGCATGGACGTGGTTGGTTTATCCCTCTCTTCGACGGAAATCCATTCTGGACTTGTGCCTTGGCCGTTCTCCCTGCTTTAATCGCTTGTATTCTCATTTTCATGGATCAACAAATTACAACTGTTATTGTCAATAGAAAGGAAAACAAGCTGAAGAAGGTTCATTTTGTTTTTTCCTTTTTCTTGATGTTCAATATTATATTTTCAGGGCTGTGGTTACCATCTTGACTTACTTATCTTGGCCGCTTTGATTCTAGTTGTCGGAATTTTGGGTTTACCCATATATGTCGCTGCCACCGTCCTCTCCATCAATCATATTAACTCCCTTAAAGTAGAAAGTGAAAGCAAAGCACCTGGAGAAGTTGCTCAATTTATCGGAGTCAGGTAAGGTTTTTGCGGAAGTTCATCTCAAAGATTAATTTGCTCTGCAGAGAACAACGCTTGACTGGAATTGTCACTTTCCTCCTCATTGGTCTGTCAGTTTTGATCACTGGAACACTAGGACACATTCCCATGCCTGTCTTATACGGAGTTTTCCTTTATATGGGTATTTCCGCTCTTGGAGGAATTCAACTATTTGATAGAATGCTGCTCTTCTTGATGCCCATGAAGTGAACTCCCTAGCATTTTTTATTTAAAAGAATATATATTTGCAGATATCAGCCTGATACCATCTACATTCGACATGTGCCAATCAAGAAAATTCACTTGTTCACAGCTTTCCAAGTCGGTTGTTTGGCAGTCTTATGGACAGTGAAATCAATAAAATCTACATCAATCTTTTTCCCTGTTATGGTAAACGCTGCAGAAAAGCAGGAAATATGTAAATTGGATGTTTCAGTTGGTTGTTATGGTAGCTGTTCGTAAACTGATGGAGAAGTTCTTCACAACTGAAGATTTGAAATACTTGGACGATCCAATGCCTGATTTCCATTTAAGGAAGAAAGAAGACTTGAAAAGAAGACAGAGCGAAGTAAATTAACAAAAGATTTATTTATGACTAGCTAATTATATTATTTAGAGTGGAGGAGATGTAGTGGAAATTGAAATGGAAGAAAATCAAGCAACAATCCATGCTGTTAAGACGGAAGCCCATCTACATATTCCTATGACCAGTGGGAATGTAATTAAGATTCCCTTGGCTGCTATTCAAGAACCATCTCACTCCATTAACATGACAAAAGAAGTTTCTTATAAAGTTAAATTTGGGTTCTTTAATTCCCTCTTTAGGTTAACAACAGTGGCATGTGGAAGCATATTTCTTCGAATGATTCTAAATCATCGCTAACAAGAGAACAACACACTCACAAGAAGTTTGTTTTTTTGCAAATATTTGCCTAAAATTTCATTTAAAGCATTCCAAGCGAAGCTCCCCTCGAAGCCCCAGAAGAGGACGAAGATGCCATAATGATTAAAGTGATCCGTCCAAGTCCTCATGGATCTTTCAACGAAATGGGTGAAGAACAGCCTCTGTTGAAGGGTAATGAGCCGAAGGAGGAGAAGGATGACCAACCACCACCTGTCTAACTTCTAATTCTCTAGGATTATCCTTATCTGACCAACATTTGGTTGTGTTACCCCACATCTTTCTCATTCTTGTTTGTTTCTTTACTTTTCATCACTGTTCATCATAAATTTCCATGTTAGAGGCGCAATAACTAGAACTAACTTCTGATGGATTGTCACCATCTAAGATTGTAGAATTCGTTACTAAGAGAGCATTAAGCTCTTACAAAGGGTTAAAAAGCTCATTTACTAACCAACAATTATCGCTATCTATAGCTTTAAAATTAGTTTACCTCCAAGTCTTAGGATTTCTTCCGTATCCCTTCTATTGCTGTTCTCTCTTATGTTTGACAGCAATATCCATCTCCAACAATCGCCCAATTCACTGTTTAGAGTGATAAAGGCACAAAGCGTAATTTGTTATGGTATATTTGCACTTTATTACATTGTTTTGCTAAAAAAAAAAAGAATAAAAATTTTATCTGTTAAAATCCTCTTTGTCGCTTCTGCAAACGAAGCACACGAAATGCGTGTCATAATTAAATTTCAATCAGAGTTTCTTTCGGATGACAGGAAGCTGTTAAGGGATTAAATTGCCATGAAAAGTACGGTAGAAGGTCGTCGTTTGACTTTGTGTGTTAAAGAAAATACAACAAGTATTCCCTCTTCTTCTTCACTCATTACATGCTGCATCCATATATGGGCTGTGTATGGGTGTGTATGTCTGTGTCTGTGTCTGTGTATGTGTGTGTGTGTGTATGTGTATGGTGTTTGTGCAAGTAGGAAGCCGAATCGAAAATCAATGTCGCTGCTGGCTATCCTCTGCAGCTTCTCTACTTCCCTTCTATTACTTTCTTTGTTATCTTCAGCTTTCTGTGAGCTTCAGAAGAAAGAGAATGTGTGTATATGTGTGTGTGTGGGAGAAAATTATATTTTAAATTCTCCATTTTTGCTTTCACAAAAGAAAAAAACTTATTTTTGCTTCCAATAATTTTCCAATTAAAATTCTGCCAGAAAATTCATTTTTTTTAAGACATTAAGCAGTCATGTGATATTAGTTATTCCAAAATAACAAGATTTTCTTCATCCATTCCAAGCCATACTGCTGTGAAATGGATTAAAAAAACTGCTACTCTTTATTTTTTAGTCTCCTCTCTCTGCTTTTGCTTTGCTTGCTCCTCTCTTCTTCTCTCTCTCTCTCTCTTTCTCTCTCTCTTTCTCTCTTCATACCTCCCATTGCCTTCAGCTCACTTTTTTTATTCTCCAAAAAAAGGAAAGATTTAATTAGCTTTTGAAATATATGAATATTTCAACTATATGCATTTCCTTCTTCATGTCAGTACTTATGTCATTTTCCTTGTCCAATGCTGAAGCTGTTGTCATTCAACTTGTTCAACTTTACTCTTCGCAAGCTTTTCCTCCATACACACATATGCAATTTGAGTGTAAATGTTTCTCTGCAATATAATATTTTCGTAGAAACCATATTAAAGATGTTTGTTTTCAAACAAACTTTCATATTTTTTATCCACCAACTTTCTTTCTTCCAATCCCCGTTAGTGAGCGTGGATCTCAAGCTTCAGCCAAGCATCTTCTCTTTTTCTTTTTCTCCTTCTTTTTCATTTCACTTCATCGTCTTCATCCATTTCTTTTTCTCCTTTTTTTCGTCGTTAAGGCTTTTCTACTTCTGTACTCCATGTGTTGTCAGGCAGTTGATGTCGTCTTTCAGCATTTTTTAATAAATTTCAATCTCTGTCGCTCTTTAAAGAAAAAAACAACTTCATCTTCTAACAATGGCTCCTTCTTCTATCCATCTCTCTCCTACCCACTCCCTTCCTCCTTTCTTTCTTTCTCTCCTCTCTTTCACCTGAATGCTTTGACGATTAACATTTTTGCTGTTTTGGCTGAAAAAAAAAGAAGTTAATACATTCCATTTGTAATCTGAAAATTTCAGCTTCAGTTATACATAGATTATTCAAGCTTTTAGTGAACGTTTCATTCCTCTCACTTCGTCTTCTTCTTCGACTCTCTTTGTCAGCACATGAAACAAGCACCTTCCTGTGGTGTCAGCTCATCTACGCTGAGTTAATCAATTTGTTCCAAACTACATACACATGTATACATGCTGTTTACAAATATGAATATGTTATAATCTCTATTAATCATTCATATATTGCTTTCCCTCACTACTACAGCTTCAACCGAACTCAGATCTATCCATTCAATGCCGTTCAAACTCAGACACAAAACGAAAGGTCATACGCACGTGTTAGATGTATGTCCTTTCAGTTAGCCTATTTCTATATTTGTAGATTGAAAATTGAAACTTCAAAGACGAAATTTCAGGCTTCTAATGTGAACAAAATGAATAATTAATATAGTAAAATATAATTTATTTAATTGATATTAATATAATATTCACGTAAAGTATCTTCACTCAAGAAGAAGCTGAAGATGAAGAAGACGGCTTTTCATTGCTGTTGAAGTTTTGTTTTCTTCCACATACGTATGTATTCATATACTTCAAACATTCGAACGGAAGTTTTTCTTTTCTTTTCTTTTTCCCAAAAAAAATCTTTTTTTTTTTAAATAAAAAGTTTTCCTTCATCCCAAATAACATAGATGAAAGCTTGTATCTAACCTGAATGAGTTGTGAAAGAATTCAAAATAGATATATTGGAGGAAGCTGTATGAAAAGGAGAGCTGAGAGGAAGTGTGAAACCTAAGGTCAGCTTCTTTTAAAGTTGTTACAAGCAATTTTTCAATATTTGGCTATTCATATGCCCCTGCTGCTTCTCATTCTCTCTCTCTCTATACATTCTATTACCTCTCTCTCTCTCTCTTAATATGTCTCATGTGGATTTTGGTTGAAATTTGATTTCATTTGACGGAAGATTCGAGAAGCTATTGATGTGAGAAAGGACTAAATTTCATTTGTGATTGAATAAATAAGTAATTTAAAAGACAAAAAAGAAAAAATAATTTGTTTCCATATTGAGAATGAATGATGATGATGACGACGTTCAATTTGTGCCAAAAGTCGATATAAGAAAAGCCAAGTTCTCATGTTTTTTTTATGGATTTTCAAGTAGTTTCGACTTTATTGTTTCATCATATTTCTATGTGAGCTACCCTTCTCTCTCTCTATCTGTATCTCTCTCTTAATACATCCTTTTACCTCTTTCTCTCAGTCTCTTCCTCTTTCTGTCTCTCTCTCTCTCTCTCTCTCTTTCACTCCCTCTATCTCTACACGTTTTTCTTCTGCTTCTCTCCTTCGCCTTTCGTATTAAATTCCGCCTGCATAGGCTTTTGAGTTTCTATCCTTTTATAGTGAAATGTTCGTTTCTTTCTTTCTTCTTCTCTTACTTTGCACGTCTTCGCATATCTTTGCCGAGAAAAGCTTTTTCATTCAATTTTTCTTTTTCAAACTTCTCACTTTTTCAGTTAACTCAAATGGCTTTTCTTAGCCAACTGACTGGACATCTTCAGAATTTGAAAGAGAAGACAGTCAATATAGCTGAAGGTGCTCCAGCTCATCTTCAAAGCTTAAAAGTAATTTATTTAATTTTTGTTATCATTAATATTCATGTAAACACTTAAAGGATGGGGCTCCGAAACTCTTGGAGAGCGCCATGAATGCTAAGAATGGCCTTCTAAATAAGGTATTAGAATGACTTCATAGTCAATCAAAAAACATTTTTTTTTCGAAAAAAAAAGAAAATTATTTTAAGGTTAAACTAGATTCATTGGGTAAAGTATTAAGCATGCCAGCATTGGGAAGAAATCAATCACCAATTGACATTGTTCCCGTAATTACAGCATTTGGTGAGCATTTACAGAATGCTGAATTTAGGTAATTTTATTAATTATACATATATATTATAATATATGCATATATATATATATAGAGTTGAATATCATAATACTGGAGACTTCAAAGCTGTTAATACTGGATCAACTGTGGCCATTATTCGTGAAGGCAATGATAGTGAATTGGCATGCTCATTCTTACCAGAAGAGCAATATCATTTGGATCAAATCAGCTGGCATTGGGGTACAGAGCCTATGAATGGCTCTGAACATACTATTGGAGGTTATTAACATTTCTTTTTATTTTATTAGTTTAAATTATATCTTTATAGGAGTTGGTTATGCTGGTGAGCTTCATCTCGTTCATCGTAATACGAGATTTTCAAATATGGAAATGGCACTTAAACAACCAAATGGTGTCCTAGCCATTGCCATCTTCCTCAATGTAAAGAGAGAGAGAGAGAGAGAGAGATAGAGCGAAGGTTTAATATTCAAATTGAAATTTAAGGAATCACATGATGATAATGCAAGCATAACACCATTTATGGAACTCTTACCTCATATAACATACAAAGGAAATGAATATAACATTCCCTCTTTCAACTTTTCGGCTCTGTTCCCGACTCAAGGTTCATTATATCCCTCCCAACTCCAATATTCTTTTGTTTGTTTTTAAGAGAAAACCAAAGAATTCTGGATGTACGAAGGATCAGAGACTGTTGAGCCATTCAGAGAGACTGCCAATTGGATCGTTTTTCGCTCAGCTTTTCCTATAAGCTCTCATCAGGTATCCTCTTAACTCGTCATTCTTTCACTCACAACCAATATATTTCAGCTTGAAAAGCTACGTGAAGTTCGTGCTGGCGGTTATGACGAGGAAAAAGAACGTCCAATGGTGTCCATTCGTCAAACTCAAGCACCTAATTCACGAATCGTAATCAGTAGCTTTCGCTCCGCAGCTGGAGCACCCGATCTCGGATTCAGCAGCAGCAGTTCCGGAAACAAGCAATAATCGGCTTCATATGCCAGATCCAGAGGAATTGCCAGCATCTGGTATAGTTTCGAGTTGTTTTCCTTTTTGGGCAGCTTGTGCTGAAGTGCCACATCTGAAGAATGATTAAACATGTTAAAGGCTTTATCCATATATAATAATAATATAAATATATTATTTATTTAAACAGACTGTTCACTTGTAACTATATGTGACTGTAGACTGCTTCATTCATTTATTAATTATAATAATTATAATAAAAACATATTTATTGATTATGATGTATAACGTGGCATATCATGGACATTTGGTCGAGAAGGTTGTGCTCGGGGAGCTCTTATATGGTAATTTGAAATTATTTTATTTGTTGAATCATCATTTGATGTCTGATCTCGAGTCTTCTTTAACATACGAGGTGTTGTACGTGATTGATTTGTTGATGGAACTTCATATAATGATAATGTTCTTGTTTTACGACCTTAAATATGCTTAAATGTATTCAGAATATTGTTATTGATGACGTCAAACCTAAGCTACTGCTTGGATCACTTATATCTCGCTTATGAATAACTATAGGATAGTTACGTATAGATGATGCTGATGACGATGAAGGAACTATTATTGATGGCTTCGGCTGATATCCCTATACATACATGTCATCAGATGCTATCGTATGTATCAAACATACGTATAGGCTTGAGAACATTAGAGCTGAATCGTAATGGCTTTTTTGCTTTTCCGTATTCGCTTCATCATCTCCTTCCTCTCCATTACCAACATAATAATCATAAAAACAATTAACTTCAAATGTTTGAGCTTCCTTAAATGAACATCATGAAATATGCAAATGTGATGAACAAAAAAACAAACAGCTGCTAAATTGCGTATAACTTCCATTACAGTATCCAAAGTGTTAGTTCGTTTGGGTGATAAAGCCTTTGTTCGATGTAAGAGTTGTTCAGTTAAGATCAATTTCTGAGATGATGGAAGTATGAGGTTATAAATGATTGAGAATATCTAAAGAAACCTTGTTATTACGTCCTTCAACTGGCATCAGATGAAGCCGAGCATCTCTCCAATCAGTCATGGATATGCTTGACTGTTCACTTGATTTCTCATTTGAAAACTGTGACGCAACTTTAGATAGTAAAGCCTAATATGCTTATTTCATTAAGATAATAGTAAGATCAATTAAGAACCTTTGTAAATGAATTGGAGCTTGAGCTTAAATTAAATTTGGCTTCTAACTTTTGAGGTTTAAAGCAATGAATCTTTGCCCTCATACCCGCGTCATGATCATCTGAATTGAATAGCTGGCATAAGGGACTGAACGAGGAGAATTCAAACTAACTTAAAGTTGAAATATAATAATCAAAACATGTCATTTGTTGATTATTCGTATAACATATATTACTTAAGGGCAATAACATTGTCGTGATAGTATCTAATCTGAATAAGGAAAGACGATGAAGCTTATAAGTAGTGGAAGGCTTACTGTAACATGGATGATATTTGAATTGGTAATAATCCGTATTTTGGTTCAGCTATGTGTGTTTGGACAGACATGTTAAGTAACTCAGAAACCATTGTTGAATTTCCAATGGATGTTGCAAAGAAGATTGGCGTACTGCCATCAGGTAGCACATCATCTTTGCGAGCTTTCAATCCAGCACTTCCAGTGCATTCTTCCAAGATGAATTGTCTAACATCAATAAAATTTACATCTTAATTATGCTAATTATGCTAATGTATATCTAATAGTAACTGACCATAGCGTTTTCTCATTTTACTATTCAAGATTATTTCGAATTCTTGTCGATTCCTCATACGAGCTAACTCATAGGCTGTTTTGTTTTTTAAGGTTCTTTAATAACTTTCATAAGTATCGATTGATTGAGAGAATTACCTTTTACGTGGCTCAGCTCCTAAATCTAATAAAGCTGAAAAGACGACTGTTGTTGTTGAACACATGACTGTACAAGATAAAGCGGATAACCCCAGTAGTGAATCCATCGTTTCATCGACGGCAGCTGCCTTTCTATAACCATTTATGCTAATTTCACGTAATCAATTAGTTGAAGTGTTAAACATTCATTTGTATGTTAGATGCTGATGTGGAACGGTTGTACCTCAAAATAAGAAAACCACAGATCTGTGGGCTGTTACGAAAAGCTGCTGCTATTAAGGGGGTCGGGCATATGCCATGCGATGTCGGTTGAGATGTTCCTACACCTAAGCTGACAAGCTTCTTTACCACATCCATATGAGCTTAATGTGAAGTTATGTGAATGATCAGCATGTGTACAAACCTCCAGCTGCTGCTAATGTTAAAGCGTTAGCTCCTAATCCACTGAAAGCTCAAATAATCGAGTTTAAATATTTTCGAGAAGGAGAAGCTTAACTAACGAGCATTTATGTATATCAGCTCCACGTTGTAGTAATGTATCGATAACAGACAGCTTTCCTTCTCGACAAGCATGCAAGAAAGGTGTCATACCAACTTGACTAGTTGATTCTAAGTCTGCTCCTCGATCAAGTAAATAGCTAACCTTAAGCATTACAAAAATGATATGATGAACTTGAATGATTAGCCTAACCAACATATTGTTGCCCATAAAAGCTGCAATCTGAACTGCTGTAACATCATCATCATCAGATGAATCAACATGAACACCTTCAACATCTAACAGATATTGAATCTTTAATAAATATATAATTAACATATGAATTATATAATATAATAAACGTACTCTAGCTAAATTACCCTCATATACAGCAAGAAGAAGCTCAGTCTTATGATCGTCGACCCAGTCTACGACCTCACCTCCACTCATCTATAACAATATAAATTATAAATTCAATAATTATCTATTTTAAATAATTAAAATATAAAAATAATAATAAATAAAACGAACATTCATATGATCCATTCAATCTAAATGAACCACAAACGTGTGATGAATAGAGGTATGAAAGTGAATTGAATCACGAAGATTTTTAGTTTTTATTATCAAATATATCTTTTTATTTTCTCCATTTGACTGTTTAATTATAAAATTAAATATTTGATTGTATTTATTAGACAATCAATATATGGAAAATGATGATATGAATGACACAGAAATCAACTGACGATCATCATGCAGGTTGCAGAACCGGCTTCTACTCTCTCTCTCTCTCTCTCTCTCTATCTCTCTCTCTCTTTCACTCTCCTTCTCTCTCTAGCTCTCTCTCTCTTCTTCTTATTCTTTTTATACTTTTCTTATACATACTCCTTATTTAGAGAACTTTCTTCTAATTATAACGAAGAGAGATACATTGGAGCGCTTATTACTGCTTAGACCCTTACATGATATAGAACGTTTCGAAAAATTTTTTTTGAAAATGTTTCAAAGAAAAGAAATTGAAGACGGTAGATGATGTGAGATTAGAAGATGTTAAAAGAGAAAGGCAATGATAGAAATAGAGAGAGAGAGAGAAGGGTAACGTGATTCGTCCGAACACATCACAACAACATCTTATCAGATGGGGCAGTGTTTCCGCGTACTTTACATGAACTGTCGAGTAAGCAGGCAGGCTTTTTTGAAATTCAGGGACAAATGGCTTGAGAGAGAGACAGAGAGAGAAAGAGAGAGAAACTTTCGAAAATTCTTTTTAAGAAACAAGTTTTAACAACCTTTTCATAGTTTCTCATTTATTTTTTGTGAGACATGAGATCTCAGATGGATATCCGATGAAGCCTTCCAATGATCACGTTCATATGCAAATCAAGCTCATTTGCATATTATTGCCACGTGGGCGGATGGATATCAGATCATAATTGTTTGAAAATTCTTGGGTGGAACGGTTGCTGATGCATTCCTCTATTTGATTAAGCATTTTTCTTATTTTCTTCAGTTTTTATGCTTTTGAAATAGAAGAGAGCGACATCAAAAACTGAATCTGATTCCATTTTCGCAGACGATTCAATGGAAACCTTCTTCATCTCATACACTACTTGCTTGTATCTATTTTATCTGGGTTTTAAGCTGAAATGTTTAGTTTTTTTGTTTACAAAAAAAGTGTCAAAGCGCTTTTTTGATATTTCAGGTATCGGGTCTTTGGAACGAGATGTCCATGACCTGCTATTATCTTCGATTTGAATGAGTATTTTCAGCTTTTAATGGCAATTTTTTTGTTTTCAGTTTCCATATCCTTATGTCCATTCCAATCATCATACTCTCTCTATCTCTCTCTCTCTGTACCTTCTATCACCTCTTTCTATCTCTTGTTTTATCTGTTTATCTGTAAGAGAACTACTGAAGCCCCCCTTCTGGCAATTAAATGATGAATGCGTGATCAGATATTTTCTGGTGTTGAAACTGATTGGAAAACTTCTTTCTCAGCAGGTGCTCAGAGTTCGAATTTCAATTACGCACATCAGGTTGATTCATCTGGACTTATACGTAAGATGAAGCCTGTTCGGTAGTCATGACAAGAACTGTTATCTTCATGTAAAACGGTATTAAGTGAATATCATTGGCAAAAGTAAAAGCTGAATAATATTTGGTTGAAAATGAATGAAGGAGGACGAATAAGAAGTTGATTCTCTATAGAAGGACATACAACTATCTGAAGACATGTTGGCCTTGTCGAAGATTAAAGCTTGATTAACTATGGTTAAGATTCGAACCATTATGTATCTAAAAGGAAACATCTGTTTTGTTAATTAGCGATTTTTGAAATCTTAGAACAAAAAAAAAGTTTCGTTCAAGTGGAATGAATGCGTTAGACATAGAAGGTAGTAGAAACCAAGGAAGAGAGATGAAGAGAGAGAGAGAGAGAGAGAGAGAAAGATGAAGCGGATTGTAAGAAGAGTAGGGGCCATGAAAAATCGGTTTTATCTTGTTACGTAAGAAGTTGAAAACTAGCTTACACAAAGATATAATATTGATTTGATATGTTCCAATTAAGGATTTCAACTGTTTTTATGAAAATCAGACGAAAATTAAAAATGTTTGCTTCTAAGGATATTCGCTTCAGAATTTGTCTTTTCCTCAATTTGTCCTTGACTATTTGTCAAACAAACAGGATTGAGATTTAGCCTGATGATCCTACAAGGTGTCCAAGTGCCATAACTTTCTTTTTAACAACACCTCTCTCTCTCTCTTTCTTAAAAATCTCCCTTCCAACCTCTATATATGGTTTTTCTCTATCTCTCTATGACAAAGTCGTTATCGAAGTTTCATTCATTGTCCCGTTAAGCTGTTCATCTTCCGTGATTAAGCCACATGAAGCGGAAGTTTTTTCATTTTCATTTTCTCATTTCATATAAATATTTTAAATAATAAAGATATTGTATATGTTTATTAACTATATATTGATTGACTAAAAATAAAAAAGTTAATTGAAATGAAAGAAAATCTTATTTGCAAATGATTGAAAAGGAATTCGTTCTTCTCATTATGGGTAAACTGGCTAACAGAAATAGAGAGTTGAAACAAAGACTGTTTCTTATGCCATATGAAGTCTTCAAAAAAACCTTAACGGATAAATACAAGCTTAGATTAGAAAAGAGAACGAGAGAGAGAGAGATAGAGAGATAGAGAGAGAGAGGGGATGTTATAGGTGATGGTGGAAAGGGGGGGGGGGGGGGTCAGTCTTTGCAACGCATACGATAACCATATGAGAAGTTTAATGATAGGAATGAGAGAGAGAGAAAGATAAAGAGGGAATTTGCGAGGATGTGAAGGTAAATCCATCCAAAATCGACAAAGAACCGAAAAAGTTTTGTTTCTTTTTACCGTAATTTGTCATTATCAGCTTCTCATCACCAATTTCGTCATAAACATAACGAATTATAGTTTCAAGAAATATTCTTGAAACAAATGTAATTGAGCAATGAAAAGTAGTTCAAACTGAACTAGATGGTTGAAATGAGGTAATTGACTTGAGTGCATTGAGTATACTATACTGGATAGAATTATGCTTGAACTACTTAGAGATTCGTGTTCATACAGTAACAACATCAGTTATCTATTACGTCAGAGAAGCTTCTTCATATGAAGTGATCGAATGAGTTCATGAGTATTTTAGGTGCTATAACTGTATGTAACTGGCAAAAAGTTGGCCATAGGCGGGTTTTTGTTCAAATCTTTCCACCCAGTCCACACCTGCCGGCTTGATTGGCCAGAAGCCAGGAGGCGTGGTCAGCCGATAGCCTCGGGGTAGAAAAGGCGCAAAGTTGGGACAATTTCCGCAGCAGCCACATACAGCAAAGTTTCCTTGTGTGATTTGCTTTGATTTCAATTATGCAACGACTTATCAGCATTCTGCTTCTTGTATCGCCATCATTGGCATGTCTTGGTGGAGGAGGTGGTGGATGTTGCCCACCATCCCAGCCAAGTTGCGGAGGAGGAGCTCCCCCATGTTCTAGCTCAAGGTAAGCATACATTAACTATATCATATATTATATATAATAAGAAACTAAAAAAAGACGTAAAAAGCTTTGCAAGTACATGCTGTACATCCTTCTTGATTCAATCTGATTCATTCAACTCATTCGTTTTGGCTTAAACATCAAATTCTCATCAATATTTCGTTGTCTTCTTTTGTTCGACCAATTGACAAAAGAACGAAATGTTCTTTTATATTCATCTGAAGATGATTGTCGTCAACGTCGTCTTCAAAATTTTGAACGAAAATTGCAAATGATCCATTCCCTCGTTTTTCCTTTTCATTAGCCTTTGAATCTTCCCTTTCTGTCTCTTCTCATCGTTACTTGAACAATAAAAATCGTTTTAACTATATGTTCTCTCGTTATTCCTCATTTTCACCTTCGCACTTCCAGATTCTTTCATTTCATCTTTCAACATCTCTAGCATCTAATTAACTTCTCTGTATCTCTTCTGTATGTATGGAGACAGTCTTTGTCTCATACATATCTCACTTCTCACACCTTGTCTGCGCATATCTCAAGTACTATCAAGTTCGAAGAATATCATGCAAAAACGAAATCTCATAACACACGTGTGCCATCTGGCGCTCATCGAAAGTTTTCCTTCTCATCTAATCTTTTGAAACAATTTCTCTTTGAGTTTTTAAATCTCATCCCAGCCAAACTGGATAAGCTGGCTAATGAACTTTTCCAATGAGATCAAGGAATTTCCTTTTTTTTTCATTTCGTTCTACTGAATGAGAAGAAAGCCTAATCATCAGATGAGAAGAGACTGATCAGCAAAGATTCATAAAGATTATGTTTTTCAAATTAAAACAAATAAAATAAGAATCTGAATGAATGTTGAGAAACTTGATGACGACAGAAATAATGTTTTTGCTTTGTGATTCTCATCAATTTTCTTTTCGTTAGCCGGATTGTCTCTTTATCTTGCTTAGACACCTTCGCCACTCAGAACTCCTTTCTAATTTGAACGCTTTCCTCATCTTATAGGAAATAAGCTAATTCTCTATCCTCTTCGACATCTTTCTAGCTTTTCCGAAACATCTATTTGTTTCTTAATGCGTGAAAAAAATGTTAGTGTCCGACAGGTTATTTGAGAAAACAGATAACAGAAAAGGCATTTAATCTAAATCCGGTTATCCGTTCTAAGATATTCTCTCGTCAGTTTCATTGCCCCTGTCTTATCCGATGGGTTGTAAACCTTGTTCCCGTCCAATTCAACTTTATGCTATTTAATAAGCAATTCTCTTTTCCAGCTATGTTGCCGCTGCTCCACCTCCACCAGCCGAATATGCTGTCGCTCCACAAGCCCCAGCTGCCTCTTCTTATGCTCAACCTGCTCCATACATTCCTGGCCCAATCGCAGGAGGAGCTCCAATCGGAGCTGGATATGCTCAAGGACCAGTAGGAGCCGGAGGACCATTCGCTGATGCTGGATACGCTCAACAAGCTCAACCAGCTTACGGACAAGGAGCTGGAGGAAGCTATCAACAAGGACCTGCCCCAGTATCTGTTGGAGGTGACCAATCCCAACAAGGATATCAACAAGGACCTGCCCCAGTATCAATTGGAGCCGATCAATCTCAACAAGGCCAATACCAATCTGGCCCAACTCAAGTTGTTGCTGAGCCAGCCCAAGGATCCTACCAACAAGGACCAGGAGCCGTCGTTGTCCAACCAAGCCAAGACTTCCAACAACCAGCCCCAATCGCCCCAATCGCCCCAGCTCCATACCAACAAGGACCAGCTCCAACCGAGGTAATTTGATTTTTTTTTGAGAGCTCTCTGCCGTGATTGCATTCAAACTACAAAAATCACAGCATGATCACTATTAGTACACAATACTGTACACAATATAACTGTTCACTCGCATCTTTCACAGACTGTTGTTGTCGAAACTCCAGCACCTGCACCAGCTGTTACTGTCGTCGAAACTATCCAAACTCCTGCTGTAAACGAGGTTTGCTTTCGCACTAGCCACCATTTCTGAAAGCATAGGAGTTTGCAAAACGTAGTTATTCGCATTATAGGTTCAAGTTCCTGAAACCAAGGTTGTTGAAACCGTTCAAGTCATCACCGAAGCTCCAGTTATCCACACCGAAGAGAAAGGTATGTTTCAAATATGTTATCCTGCGTATTTATTCATTCTAAAGCCGAGAGCACTTATGACGACATCTTGGAAGAAAACACAGCTCAAACTGAGCACGTTGATACCGTCGCCGAGACTAACGGAGCCGTTGGAGAAGACTACGGAAATGATGAGATTGAAGGAGATGAAGGAAACTGTGACGATGCTGACTTGAAGGCTATTGTTGAAGCTGCTCTTAACAACGAGAAGGTATTCCACCAAATCGATCATGATAATGCTCTTAATTGTTTTTTTTTGCAGGACAACCTCGAAGCCGCTCGCAAGATTGAAGGAGATGCCTCTGGAAAGTTCGGTGGACGTTTCAACGCTATCGTTTCTGATGCCGAGTTCGCTTACGTCAACTGGTATGGCAAGAGAAACTGCCAACTTCGTGTTAACAACCGTCACTCCCTCACCTGGGAAGACTAAGATTGTTTTCACCATAACGAAGGAGAAAAGAGAGAAAAATAAGATTTGAGACCTTGGAAGACAATCCAAACGTTTGTCTCCCAAGTAATCATTCTTTCTAATTTATACTCAATTTGATATCAGTTTTCTCTCCAATACCTAGCGCTTTCCTATTATTGTAGGTTTTGTTTAGCATATTTAACATCATGTTTCATCAATTATCTTGCATACCACTCCGCTCAAAACCTTTTGGCAATGAGCTTCAATTTCAACAAAAACCAAAAACAAAAACCCTTCCCTCATCATATGAACTGCTTTTAGCATTCATACTATGAAAGTTGTCTGTACATTTGTGAACCTCATGAAAGAAGTTTATTATATTATCATTTATAAGCTCTGTTAAATAGTTTATAAACCGCACTATTATTGCTCTTTTTCATTAAAAGTGTAAGAAACAAAAAGTATAATGAAATAATCAACACGTGTTTTATGGCCTAGATCATCTTCTGCTCAGAAAGCTACTTAAACGTGTCCTCGGTAGTATAGTGGTGAGTATCCGCGTCTGTCACATGCGAGACCCGGGTTCAATTCCCGGCCGGGGAGAATTTTTTATGTTTCTGAAAACGTTTCAAAAAAGAAATTTTTTAAATTTAAATTTAAAACTTTTGATGAATTTACAATAAATATTCATACTTTCCGCTTGCAAATAGTTGCTTAGAAGAGGAAAGATAACGTCAGTTTGAAGTTGTCTGATAAATAATACAGAATAGGATTCAATCGTGCTCCAGCTAGTGAAGTGAATAACGTG